GTAAAAAAGTTTCTGTCATTTCTGCTGTCTTTTAAGATTTACGCATCAATATATGTAACGAATGTGTTGTTTTAGCATACGTATATTGTTATTATCATTTTTTTCAAATGTAAAACTAGTATAAAAGTTCTTTTCATAGGTCTATAACCTCCATATAAAACCACTAAGTTTTTAGAAAGTAATATTGTAAACACGAACAATGTAAGTAAATTTTCAGTATTAGCACGAACTGTGGAATATGACTTGAACAAGTAAATGTTATATCATCTAGAATCTTTTTCATGGTATCAACAATCGCTAAGTCTAGTGCTTATGTATACAAATCACTAAACTTAATTTGGTTTATTCTGTTCAATAAAGGAGATGAAGAAGAGGTACAATATAACCACTTTATTGCAGGTTTGTTACGCACACATATACATTGAAAGTTTTCAAATTTCATATTAATAACAACTAAGATGCCGCAAGATAAGCGGATAAAAGTAACTTGTAATAATTATCAGCAAAATTAAAACATGGAATTATTCAGCTACATGAAGTCAGTAATAGTTTACTTTTAATCCCGTAGATAGTCTCAAGCAACAACTTTGAATTTCTATAATTTATGTAAAGTTTTAAAGCTCAAGAGAGTAGTACATATCTTATATTGCTGAAACTAAAATTTTTGCAAACTGCTGATCACGACTGATCACTAGAAGATATGAAAGACTGCTAGAGCAGAAGAATGGAAAGAAACAACAAATCAACTCTTTTAAGACATAGCCAATCTCTCATCATCCCGCCAATGTACTCTCGTGTCCAGTTAATATGCAAAGGTCGCAAAAGTCTTTAGCTGCGAATGCTTCTCTTCGCTTCAATACCACTAATCTGTAACTAAGTATTGATTTCTCTAATCTTTAATAGTATTTAGTGACACGAAAGTGCAGCCGACAAAGTTTACTAGAGCAGATCAACTGAGAACAGTACCCTAGAACCACCTCCCTTAACTGAAATTTGAAATCATTTTATATCTCCTCCAATTTCCAGTATTACAATCTTACAGCGTCCAAGAAAAAACTCACTTGTCACTTCCAACAACTTGGTATATATTATTATGATCATTAATATCTTGAGTAATTGACCCATCAACGAACGCCTTACCCTGAAAATGCCAAGATTTCAACTTTAGTGTTTTTTTGGTGCTACAAATTTCATTTAAAATATTCATGTTACCTCTAAATTCTTATCAAGTTCATTACCTGCACTCCGTGTGAGTGAAAAGCAAGAATTGAATCCGACAATGAGACAACATATTCAAATTGGAAAACAAATTTGAACTGGGAAGGTGAAAGACGAGACGACTTGATGAAACCTTCTTGATTTATCACGACACACCGATTCCCATAGCACAATAATAACGCATTCTTAACACTTATAACAGAATCAGTTTCAGCATTTAAAGAGAATATAAGTGACAAAAAGCAAAAAAAAAAAATTTAGCATGTGGAAAATAAAATATCTGAAAAACTAAAGCGGCCGACAATACTAATATGCATCACTAGAGAATTTACCCGATCAATTTGTTTTAATGCCACAACGCTAAGACAAACTGCCTCAGTTCGATCTTTTTCATTCAAATCACAGTGCACTCGTTCATCATTAAAATTGACGTAATAAAGATGGAATTTGCGCCCTACTCCTCTATAAACTGCTAAGCAAACCTGTAAATAAAATGTTCTCTTTTTACATTTTCAAGAAGGGATTTATATTTTAAGTAAAATATAAACAGAATTTATTACTTGCCTTCTATTCTAATACATGACTGAAAAATGCGGCAAGTCATACAACAATACAAACTTCTAACTGTTACCTTCGGAAAATCAGCATCTGTTCCAGCACTGTAAATTAACTGAAAAGGCCGTAGAGGAAAATGCGGCACACGCATTTCAACAGTTTTTAGGATAAGGAACTTTGTCAACGGTTCATACCACTGGAATAGTATTACGGCAGATGGCGTAGCACAGCAAAGGTAAACATTACCATTTACACCACTTTTCGCCACATTGCAGTGAATAACATCTCTGCATAACTAATCTTATTTTAGGAAAGAAAAATAATGATAGGAAGACTACTAATTTTGAATGCTTTCAAATAACTTCTCAGGTAGTTTTCTTACTATGTTTCAACTACATCGATTACAATCAAACAGGACAAGTGAAATACCTTTGCACGATAAATAATACCAATAAACTAGATAAAGCAATATTTAAATCATACTTGGTTTCTGGTAAACGAGTCGTGATGGCAAGTTTCTTTGGCAAGTACTTTTCAGGAATTTTGTTCATTGGCTTTGATATCTTTTGTGTAAGATTTCGTTGTGATAAGGCAACAAGATCATGGCGATAGAGATAGGGAGTTTTTCCTAAAATCATGTATGAAAGTTTAAAAATCCTCTCACCCTAGAGTGAGAAACAAGTGCACCAGTAATATAGATATTTTACTTATTTTGTTCAATTTTAGTAGAAAACAGTAAAGAATGAGCTTAAGAATTTTTAAGCATAAAGGATTAAAGGTAAAAATTAAACCTTGTATGGCCATAAGAATATTCTTTTGCACATGCAACCATGAACAACGTCGTTTGTGAATAAGAATCATTGCAGCTTCATGTAATTCATCCATATCTAATGTAAAGATGCCTTCTTCAGCGCCAATCAACAAAAATTGACGAGAATTATTGGGGTGAACCCATGTTGCGGTGCTATTTATATGTAATGGACAATCATGAAAAATCAGAGAAAAGCATGCACCCATGGCAACCTGCAAAATCATCACAGTTGAAAGGAAACAGAATTTGCTCCAATTTTTTAGAAACAAAACTAATCAATTGATTTGATTGAGTTCACAACAAACCTTTGGTGTTGGTGGCAATCCAAAGCATGTCTGAGGTCGTGGAAGAACATAACTTGAACAACCATTTACGCGATGTCTTACTTGCTCGTTCAAACACGGCTCGGAATGAGGGGATTCTAGAGATGAAGACCGCTTCGTAGATTGTTTGATGCGTGGAGGACGCTGAGGTATGAAAAAGTCGGAACCAGATGAATCTAAAAAAGATATCACTTCAAACCATTAATAGCACAATGAAAACAATTCACGGATTTTTATCTTAAAAGACTTCTACATTTGCTTGGCAACTTTATTATACTTTATTGATATACAAACGCAACCATTGATTTCTTTGCAACACAAAGTTCCATCATCTGTATCATGTATAACACCATCATTATCGTTAAGTAATGATAAAGCTTGAACAACATCTGGCAAAGGGGGATGTTCTTTGGCGGGAAGAGTCCGGTCCTAGAAAATATTAGGTGTAACTATAAGTAACAAGCAGTTCACAAAATCCTGAATATGCATAATGTATAAAAACACATGCCAGCCCGCAAAACTTGCCTCATGATAACGTAGTCCAAAATTCACTACAGAATCTTTGGAAGTAGACGGCTGATCCCAAATCCGAGCCATAAGCGAATTAGCATCGTCAGATATACGAATTGCATCTTGAGTCACACAAGGACAAGCTCTACTACGTGATTTGATCCGAGATATTGTTGGTTTATCGCCCTGAGAAATAATAAGCCATTTATTTTCAGACTAACAACGAAATTAACAGTTAATCATTAGTTTATGAGCACTAGACAATGAATAAAAATATTTAACTTTAATACGACCTCTTCATCATCATCCTTGTATGAAAACGCAGAAGGAGGTAATACGCCAAAAGGATTGTTGACTTTATCTAATAAATCACGTGTCATTCGAGAAGAAAGAGCTCCAAGAACAAAATGATGATTCTAGAATCAAAAACTGATCTTGAAGCAAAAATTCATGAAAAGGCCTAAAAAATTTGACAGAAACGTGTTAAAAAGTGATTTTGAAAAATATTTACGGAAAATCATACAGCAAGTAGTTTCTCAGGAGTTGGTCTCTTTTTCGGATTTTTAGTTAAGCACTGCTTAATGAAATCGTGAAAGAATGGAGACCTGGAAATACTCGAGAAAGCAATACACTTTTATTTTTGCAAAGAAAAATTATTTCTGGGAACAGACTTTAATTAGCGTGTTTGAATGAAGCATATTAGTGTTATGCTTTGCAAGCGATAATCAGGGTTGTATAATAAAAATGAAAAATAATTTAACGACCTGCAAAAGTAACTTGACGAAAAGGCAATATCACGTTACCTTGAAAACTACTACTACTAAAGATTTACTGGCCAGAAGAATGATTTTATGCTATATAATTTTTATTAAAAATATCACAGCAATTTAAATATTTCAAAAATTGCATACCATTTATACTTATCTTTAAGAGCTGGAGATTTGTAGGACGATTTAGTCATAAGGTAGAGTACTTGCATAGGATGTAAATCAAAGAGGGGTGGTTGCAATTCAGCTAATTCAATCGCTGTGATTCCAACGGCCCAGACATCGCATTCTACACCATAGCCACCTCTTCGTTCTACACATGCCACTTCTGGTGCCATCCTGACCATAGCAACAATTAAATAAGTAAAAGAATAAGGTAAATACGTTTCAAAGTAAACAATTCATTTCTCAAGATGAAGGAATCTCAACATACCAATATGGAGTACCAATGAATGATTTCCTTTTCCCTATAGTTGCAGTTATTTGTGCAGCAATGCCAAAATCCGCTTAAAAAGATAATGAATGAAATCATTTCTAAATGATCGCAACAGTACATATACTTTTATAAATAAATTACAATAAACATACCAAGTTTAACATCACCAGAATGCGTAAGCAGTATATTAGCTCCTTTTATATCGCGATGCACCATACCCTTTGAATGAAGATAATGAAGACCTTTCAACGTTTCACGGCAAACAAACGCTATTTGCAGCTCTGATAAAGGACCAGTCACTATAAATTTTCAGCAATCAATGTTAACTGAATTTTTATAGTTCATGCTTTTCTTGACCTATTTTTTCATTTTGCATTGGAAATATTAAATAAAAATCACTAATTTGCTTTTCCAAATTAGTTTGATTTGATTACAAAGTCAAACATATTGCAAATATTCAGAACCGAAGAAGAGTAGCTTTCTAAACCTGAAAATTTCTTCTTAATTTCAACTTTAATGATTGAAGACCTACTATGATAAATGTCTTGAAGAGAGCCACCGCTACAATACTCCATAACGATCCATAACCTATCACGACGTAAATAGCTACCATGATATGCAATAATGTTTGGATGTACGCAACCACGTATCATCAAAATTTCTTGCTGAATCACAGCAAAATTATCACCCGCTTCGAGTTTTACGACTTTTACAGCGGAAAATTTTCCTGTTCTGCAAGCTATTACTTTTACAAAAAATAATTCAATCAAATACATTCAAGAAAAACAGACTACACAATTATTCTTAATCGCTTTTATCTCATCAACTGATCCTGGCTAATTATCGGTAATTTTCATAAACCAAATTAGAAGTTGAACCTAAGCTTATATGTAAATATGACCTGATATGTTTGGCTTTATAAACTTCACCATACGTTCCCGAACCTACTCTTTGCAATAACTCGTAGTCATCCGTTGGATTAGCTCGCTTGATAACATCCAAACTCATAATCTAAAAGACTAAAACTTCCTTTCAGTTAAATGAATTACAGTGTGGTAAACATTTCGAAAATCCTCGAAGTACTAAGACATTAATTTAAAATTACAGTGACAATCAAAAAATAAAAGATATGAAAAGATTAACCGATTTCACTGATTTCAACGTACCAAAAAGGATGCTGAATGCTGTTAAAAACTGAACAGTAAAATCACACAGCTGCTTCTGATACAGTACCTATACAAGCAATATCATTTTTGCTTCCAGAATTATCCAAAGAAATGCTAGACACCTGCAACGTCCCACAAATCAATCATTTTACTAAAATAAAATAAAATATAATAATGTCTGCGCATTACACAATCTATTTTAAAATCAGGAATATTAAAGGAAACCCTTGAGAATTATCGACTTTGGTTCAACACATCGGTCTAAATATTCTAACACAAACACAACTTCTCATCAGCTCTCAAACATCTACGTGAAATATTACTTAAAAATAAACTCAAACTTTCTACGACTTGTGATTTACCGTACAACAAAACAATATCAGATAAGCAAAATTCTGTACTTAACGTAACACAAATCCAAATGACAGATATCCTTTTTATAGCTATTTGTTGGACAAAAATGGTAATCTCTGTAATATAATTTGCAAGACTGACCAGAATGACTTTGATGCACCTTAAAACAATTTAAACAGTATCCCAACAGTAATGAAAGTCTTTAACCTGAGTACACCAGTGTCATTCGCATTATCAAATTTGTTTGGGAAGTTATAGCTGGAATGCAATAAACTCATCCCACTTGTGTTTTACTTCACCGATCATATTCATTTATGTTCAACGTAATGAAACGTAGAGAAATAAAAATTACTTCACGAAAATATGCGGAAGACAAATGTCAAAATTCAATGATCCTTTAAACGACTTCTCAACTGCTTATTTTTACTTTTTTAAATGATTTACACAAGATGTATTATCGAATCGTGAATATAAATGCAACATACAGTGCTTACATGAACGAAAGATCAAGTAAGTTGAAAATTCTCTTTTTTCTGTCTTAAGTAAGACAAGCATAATAACTGTAGATCTGGAATACTGTTAAACTTTACATGCAACAGATTCAAGACTGACAGTTACTGAACTAAAGTTAAACGGAAATGCAATTCAAACATTTACTCGTAATTTCAAATAATAATGAAAATCATTTGAAATAATATAAGTAAAAAGAAATGAAGCATTCATGGAACCTAGAAAACTATACAAGAGTCTTTAAACAAGAACACAATTTAGTGAGCTTAAATAAATGCGCAAGCTAATGAGAACATAACCAAGCAAAGAAAGCTTGAAGTAATTTGTGCAGTACTAATACGAAACATCAAATGATACAAAATATATTGCTCCAGATGAAATGAAATAACAGAATTTGCAGAGTGAGCAGTGAAAAAGCAGAAGATTCAAAAGCAAAACTGGTTGTAATTGGTGGTTAGGTTTTGTTGCAGTCTGCTACTTACTAGAGCAAGGTTATTCTTAAATAACTGTTAAAAAGCAAAAAATATTTTGTGATATTTATCCGTTAGGAAACTACCAATCAGCGTTGTAAAAGGCTAGCGTAGATAATCTTTCAAAAATGACATAGATATGTTTGCGAACCATTTCTTTCAACACTGTTAGGCTTAATTCTCTGGTGTTTAATTTCTAACTACAATCTCGTTATCAGCTCGGCTAGATTTTGTTTAACGATCAAATGTGCACACTGATCAGAAATATTAGCCTGAACTTGAAATAAATCTACTCATTTGTATGCTAGATAGTTTATGCTGAAAATACACTGCTTCATATCTTGTTAATAATATTTATATTCCTGGTACAATTGTGCTCACTTCCACTTTCAAACACTCAATTTTTCAACATGGCACTTGGATTTCAAGCATTCTTTGTGCAAAGCATAAAATATTCGGAAATCCATCTTTTAATCTTATTAAGATACGCAGCTGTTGAACATTTGGAAAGAACAAACAGATCAGTTTGAATGTTTGGTACTACTGACAATCGAACTGTTGTAAATCATCATTATAAACAAATGTGTCGTTAAATTCGTTAAATTCGACAGTGTGCATTAATTAGAATAAGGATGACTTTATTTTTCTTTAAGGGGTCTTTTATGGCTACATCTGTCTCTATCCATACATGACAAAACAGGAAACAATCACCAGTTATACTTTTTCAAAACAATGAGTCATCAAGTACAAATCAACAGTAACGAGCTTATTAGTTAATATCACTCAAAGACAATTAACGATGTTAATAATTCGAAAAGTTGAAACATGCTACCGTACGAGTACGACTTCTAGGTTACTCGCATGAATTGAAACACAGGAAAACTGAAGTCATTAGCATTGTTGTCTTCAAATGAAGTGGAAAGAGAAGCGAATAAAAAAGGTAAAAAAATGTACACACACCTCACACGTACACACACACACATACCACTGCATCATCACCATCAGATTTTATTGCGCTCATCACAATGTTGAAAAGCTGCGCCTGCTGTTTGTCTTTTACAATATCTTTACTCACTACACGCATTTCCACTGAAAAAGAAGCACCGAGGAAGGCTTTGTGATGGCATGCAAGAAGTGAATGTAACAAATACAGCAAGTCTAGACTTCTTGAATGATATATCTTCTTCAAGTATTATTTAAAAAATGCGAGACTTGCCTCCTAGTACTATGATTTGAAACTTTTATAACTTGAAGAAAATGGTTTTGAATCATGAAGTAATTCGTAGTCATAAAATGAGAAAAGAGTGCAGACGGAAGATCGACACTGAGTCAGACTAAACTGGACACTCTGGAGGGTAGAAGCTGTCAAAGATACTTATTATAATAAGTATTAGCAAAAACTTAGATGGAGCAGTTTAAATGGGAAATACAAGAGTGTGTAGATTGCGCTTGCATGAGTGAATACAACACATTTAAATGATCCATTCCATTAGCAGCGATTCAGTGACCGCAAGAGGAACAGCGTGATAGTTTATCACAAGTAAACATAAGTAATCTATGGCGTTGACGGTGCTGATCGTGAAATACGTGAACTACACAAGTCTCTTTTTCCTGCTCTATGCCTACACTTTCCTCTCTCTGCACACACACACAGAGTATATATTACACCGTTTAGATGCACACTGAAATCGACCATTTAGACAAATTTAGGCTTCGCAGTGCTCCTCGTGCAACTACACTTCAGCCAGAAATAAGTGTTCTACAGGCATTCATTTCTATGCTGCAGACCCCTCGCAACATTTCTTCATCTCCAATTTTTCTATCAAAATTCCTGGTAGTAGTGCTCTTTTATTGTATAAATGTTACCCAAACAGCACTCATCACGCCTGTCCATATGTGTCTCCTTAGACATAGGACGTGTAAGCGTAGGCGTGAGCATCTGTCTTTATTTGCATCTATATTTGAAAGGTCAAAGCAAAATCTGGCAGGGAGTACTGAACGGACATAGAACAAAGAAAAAGCATTTGAGGCAGCATATGCATATAGTTGAGGTTGAGAAAGATGCATTATGTTTAACACAAGCTGGATTCAATCGATCATCACCAGTTCTCAGTAGCCAGCTGACACAGTGGTCAGATACTCTTGGAAAATCAGTCATACATGAGAAGGTAACGAAATTAGAATTACCCGAGTAGCAGCAAGTTCTTACAGCCTTATTCATTTCGGTTGATAACTATGCTATGTGCTTGCAAAAAAGACTCTCAGGGTTTTCTGGTTGAAGCAATGACAACTCTTAAAAATAGTTCCGAAAGACAAATGACTCAGTATTTATATTAATTCCCACCTTTATTGTTTGTAACTACTCCAAATTACTCATTCAGTCTTACATCGAATGCTTGTGAGAGCGAATATGAGCTGCTGACCGCTGACCTTTTTCTTGTCAAGATTTAATGCATTTCTTTAGTCACAAAACACAAAGGAATTAAAAATTTTAGCTGTGAAGGAGAATATTTGTTTTTCATTGTTTTACGACTAAACATACAATAGCAAGTGTGACTCACGCTTCGTCTGTAGCTCTTTCACATGTGAAACATGTAATGTTTTCACGATTACTAATGCCGGGAGCAGCCATGACTTTACGTTTCCGTACGTAATTTAGTCATAAACATTTTTTGAAAGTTTCTTGCCTGCAGTCTTTTACAAATACATAACACAACATAACACACAACACAGCACAA